TAAAAATTCGAAATTGATTGGATTTATTAGATAAAGTGAATTAATTTAAAAAAAATGTTTGAATTGATAATAGATTTTAAGATTACACTATTAATCAACCTGTGCATTTGCACATATACAAATTCATAGAAAAGAAAATAAGAAAATAAGAAAAACAAAAATACTAAATCATAATTTAATTCAAAAAAAATGTTAATTAAGAAAAGAATTCTAAATATTATTAAAAATATTTTATATGCAACATTTTTATTTTATATACAATATTTTAATATAACGCCATAGAAAATTTGACATCTCTTGATTAGGTAATGCTTTTTAGTTAAATGACATTAGTAACATAATATTGCACCATAACATTTGGATTGAGAATAAGAAAAAATATATAAAATTTGAATATGGCAACATAATAATGAGATATATTGGTGTTTGAAATATAAATCATTATTAATGATTTATACAATTAGATATATTGTTTTTTCTTGTAGGTGGATATATATCTATATATATATTGAAATAGATGATTGAATATTTTTAGTTTTATTTCTTAATTATTTGATTTTGTAATTTTGGAATCTGAATTATTGTGTGAATCATTTTTACGTACTCAAGCATAAAAAAATTTGAATAATTATTTTGTTACATTCATTCAACAAATAAGTAAAGTGAAAAGGAAATAGGCATGAATCCTGTCAGATCATATCAAAGAATGAGCATTACATCATTTTGGAATCTGAATTATTGTATAAAACTATATTTTTATGTAATCAAAGATAAATGAATTTTGAAAAGGAAATAAGTATGAATTCTTCCAAATCAGATCAAATAATGATTGTTACATAATGTGATTGATGGGGAAGAGGTGATGAAAAACGTTTTACAATTGAGATGAGTAAAGAAAAAAAGAAAAAATAAATAAATTAAATGTTTTGTAACCGAATGTAACAGTTTTAGATGGTATGTGAAAACTAATAAAATTGAATGTTGAAAATTTTGGAGGGATAATAAAATTTAATGCATAAAACTAATAAAATTGAATGTTGAAAGTTTTAGAGGGATAATAAAATTTAATGCATGACAATATAATTTAATGCTTTGTTGCTCCTCTTTATATATATATATATATAGATTTAAATAATATTAATATTAACATATATATTATTTAATCTATATCTATATCTATATCTATATCTATATATATATAAAGAAATTGTTGGAAAAATACATTAATAGAAAGTTTGGCCAAATAAATATAATGTTTGACTTACTATTAATGGAAAGTTAAAAAAAAACACATGTGAATCTTTAATAACAAAATCTAAATCCTATTTTATTGGTAACAAATTTTGAGATTCTTATGGCAAATTTTGAATCCCATTTTTTTCGTATCATATTTTATATTTTTACCAAAATTTAAATCATATCTTTTGGTAACAAATTTGGAGATTCTTATGCAAAAAATGTATCAATTATTTATGAAAACAATTCTAAATACAAATAAATTTTTAAAAACCGTGCAAATTGGATACAAATTTAGGAAGAAAATAGCTTTATAATTCTTAACCGATTTTTCCAATGTTATTGAATAATTTTTTCTTTCAAAAAAATTGTGTAAATTGAATAAAGCCACGTGCAATTTTTATTTTAAAATAAAATTGATATTTGGACGGGATATACATTCAAAATTGTGTCCACATTTTTTGATAACAAAAGCGTTTCATCATTAATATTTAAAGTCCCCTTATCCAATTATTTAGAAAAATTTATGTGCAACTTTTCAAAATTTAAATGTATCGATTATTTTTATTCTTATATTTTTTCTTAACCATGTCTTATCGAGATTTTGATAAGTTCATATCACTTTTTTTTTTGGTTAAGTTTCTTTAAGAAAGAGACAGTTGCATACACATTAACAATTTATTTTAATTTTTTATTTGTTAAATTCAATTTGTTTGGTACAATCGGTGCAATGTTAAGAAAATTCAGTTGCAATTTTAAGATAAATTGATGATTTTTTTATTTGGTTTAAAAAAATTCTGATCAATTTGTTTGCTAAAAAAATTGGTTTATTGGTAGGAAAATTGGTTTCATTTCCAGGAGCAACTAATGATTCTTTTCAATTTTTTTTAATTGAAATTTAGAATTATATTTAAAATAAATAATGGGTAAAAATCCCTAAAAAATTCTACTTTTTTTCTATTTTAATTTTGTTTAATAAATAAGATCCTTTAATTTTTTAAAATTTGTTAACTAATAACTAATAATATGCAATTTTGGATAAATTCGAACACCTATGTAGTACTTTACGTGTCAAATAATTAAATCAATAATGTTGTACATAAGGAAGTGTTTAATAACGTATAAATTTTATTTTCATGAAATTTTTAGTGGCATGAGACAATTTAAATACAAAAATATATTTTAAAAAATAAATAGATAATAAGTGCTCTCATGTATCGTACGGGTACCGTACTAGTTATATTAATAACAATAGAGTAATATTGAGTAAAATTAAGTTGGATAGAATTTATATTTGTTATTAAATTTAAAAGTTAGAAATAATTAATTTATTTTATACAATAGCCGCCTCAATTATTTGAGGCAAGGATAGCGCGTTGAAAGATATTTGACCCATCATTTTCATTTTCCCAATTACCTTTTTTTATTTTTTTGTATGCCTTCTGATCTGTAATCTTTTTTCAAGTTTTTATCTCGTCCAGATGCAAGACCATTCAAAAAGCTTCGAATAAAATTTAAAGAAGACCCTTTCAAATTTATGGAAGTCCAAATAGGAGGGAAGAATAAATAAGAAAATCAAGCAAATTGTGATGAATAGCGAGAACAACAAGAATAGACGTTCTTCAAGTTGGTAAAGGATTCATCTAAGAAGTTGGACTCAAACAATTGAAATATTTTAGTTATTTAAACAATTATTATTTATAATTTAACGTATGCAGTCAAGAATTTAAATCACTTAAAAACTTAAATTAACTCTAATATATTTCATCATCCATTAAAAACAACTAAAAAAATTATCAATTGGCATTTATTTTCAATAACTTATACAATACCCGTGTACTATAATTTATATTTTTATTGTAAAATTATGTATGATGGGTTTGCAACAATAATAAATAACTAACAAAATGATAATTAATTCAAAAATTTGTCAAAAAAGATATTTTTTTAATTATATTTTAAAATTATATATGTATAAAACTGATATTATTTACAACTTCATATAATTGATTTGTTTTTTCAACAAAATAAGTTTTATTATATTTTGATTATATTTTATATTTATAGAGTCAATGTCTCACGTCTATTAATTTTTCAAGCATTTTAAATTCATATAAATTATAATTTAGAATATACATGAAAATGTATTATTTTCTAAATTTATGAAAAATATAATTTTTTATTATATTTAATTATGATATTATTTTATATTTACTATTTTAAATAACATAATAACATTCAATTTTTTATAATCTTTTTAAATTGAGAAATAATATTATATAATATTTCTTAAAATTTATTTTATGTAATACTTTTTTTTTTATTTTTTTTCAAGTTTTATATAAAACACAATAAAATTATTGTTTTATGGTGTAGTAATGAATTAGATTTTTATTATTTTTATACAATAATTTATATTGTTATTTGATGTATTTTAAATTGAGTGATAATAAAATTAATTTATTTATAGATATAGATGAAATTATTTTTTATTTTATATATGCAATATGGATGTCAAAACGAAGATCGTTAAAATACGATTATTTCGGTAGATCATATATAAAAAATAAAATACAAATAAAAAAGTTATAAAGTTTTAAAAATACAGATAGAATACATTTTTATAATAACTAATATATGAATTAAATAAAAAAAGTAAAAATAGTGTATAGGAACTTAAGAAAAAATGGAAGCTAAGATAATTTATGGTAATTTCCAAGCCTAATAGTCAAACTCAAACCTAAACATGTGTCAAACATCAATTTAAGTCAAATAAACTTACAAAGCACAAGAGCCTGCCACTAAGACTCAACGCATTCGAGAATTACATACATGGGCAATAAAAATTCAAGCATGCCTAATTTCGTCTTATTTTCTATAATCCACTAGTTTCTGAAATAGTTATGTACTTTTACTAATAAAAAGAATAAAAAAGGTAATGATGAAATTAAAATTTTATTTATTTACTCATTTTGTTACGGGGTCTTAATTTGTAAATGAGTTCTAAACTTCCAGCCTTCAATTGAGAAAATTTTAAAAACAAACTCCATTTTGACAACTTTCAAAATTTTCAGGTCTTAATTTAATATACTAGTACGTACCTCGTACGATGCATGGAACAGAGATATTAAATGAGTTATTTTCACAGTGTGTCCGTTTAAGTCGAAAAGGCAATAGGGTTATAATATAATTTTTACCTCTTTTAATCAACGTTAAGTCTAAAAAATAATAGGGTTATAATCTGATATAGCCATATTATGAT